AAATAGCAACAAGTGAATGTTTATGTATTAATTGACTAATAGGTAAATTGCGCAATTCTTCATTAGAAAGCATTTGGTAGGATAATTCTTGTCGTACTCGTTTCAGACGTCGTATGTATTTGTTTCGCCAGGGTGGATCTATCACAATCAAGTCAAATTGACATAGCTCCGGCAAGAGTCGCTGCAATTCATTTACATTGTAGTTAAAAAAACGACTTTTTGAGGGTATTAAATATGTTCTCCTGTTAAGAGCATAACTTTGGAATATACCTGTATTGTTTTCACCATGAAATTTAGGAAAGTTCATAGCTTCATCCCAATAATGTGGGAGTTCACACTCTGAAGAAAATGTAGGGAATGTTATTGCTGTTTTTAGTTTTGCGAGAAATTGTTTGCAATCTTGATCCAGGGCAGACATTTCGTTTGTCAAACAAATACATTTTGTTCGCTTTAATTTATTATTCTCTTTAACGTCTGGTTTTGTTGCCAAGTTGTCGTTGGTACCTTCTTCTGTATGTTTAGGTTTTTTATCAGAAAAATTGAATAACTCATGCTTAAGTTTGTAGTCAACGTATGAGTCTTCAATTAGTGTTTCGTGATTAAGATAGATCAATTCCTTTTTATCGTTAAAAACCTTAATCATTCCATAAATATTATATTCGGTACTCGTATTTCAAACTTCATAAAAATAGCGCAGCAGCGTCGCCGGTGATGCAGGTTAGTGTTGTTAAGAATATGGGTACTTAGGTATTTGGTTTTAATAAAACTGACAAGTACTCGAGTTTTATATTGCCAAAATTAACGAGAATAATATATATGTATATGTTAAAGTTAATTTTAGGCTTTTTCTAAATTATGGAAATAATTATTTACAAAATAAGGACTTTATATAGTTTCACATAAACGGAAGTATCTTGAATAAAAGATATAAACCTTGATAAGGTAAGTAATGAAATTAAGCTTTAAGATATATATTGTGAATCCATTAAGGGATTATAATTGATTTCCAGGGTGCTGTATAAGATCCCCTAACTTTTTCTAATTTTTTTTTTTTGAAACACAATACGTACAATAATATCAATACATGTTTCATTTGGCTACGACTAGATCAAGTGCATAGAACTATAAAGCAGTTTTGTTATATTTACAATACGTTTTACAATTGTCAAGTTGTCAAAGACTTATTTTGGGCGCTCGGAAAAACTAATTTTTAACAATTGTGTTAATTTAAGTCAGTGAATAAAGTAATTAAAAGCAATGTATTTGGTTTACCGGAACGATAAAGTTTGGAGAGATTTATAGTAATTTCTTCCTCACTTTTGTGATTTTTTCTTCTGGTAAGTGTTTTGAGAAGTTAGCTCTTTAGGTTTTTTTTTGGTCTTTATCTCAGAACGGCTAAGTTAAAAAGATTTGTAGACATTTATTTTCTAATATTTATAAATCTTCACCATTGAATTTGTAGACCTTTTTTTTGTATAAATTAATGCAATAAAAATATTATCTAAGAACATCGAAATTGAGTTTTGAGGATTTGTTATTTTCTTGATACTGTGTCCCTAGTTTGCGTTAGATAAATTAAAAAAGGTTCTAAAGTCAATGTGTTTTTGAAGAAAATATTACTTTTTTTGAGGATAAAATCGTAAAAATGGAAAAATGTACACGTTCAGCTTGCTTAGAAGGCAATAATACCATACGACGTGCTCTTTTCCTGCTCTACTCATATCATCATATCAGAGTTAAAACTTTTGAAGAGAGTGTTATTAGAAGTCCATATTCCAGCTGAATACTTGATCGAAGACTTTTCTGGTTTATGAAGTGCGTTAGTTAAACGATCATAAATTCATTTTTGAATCATTTTTGATATAATTTAAGTCATAATATAAGAAGAAGAAACGAACATTCAAAAAATATTTCATATATAAATAATATAAGTAAATATTGAAGTAAGTTTTAGTGTTGCTGAAAAAGCTACGCTTTCTTTATATGACGACAAAGAAGCTAAAGAAGCAAACATTTAGAGGGTTTTCGAATAGCAAATAAATTAGAACGAGCTTTTAAACTACAGCTTTATTTGGAAACACAAGTTTAACGAATTGAAAGTTGACTTTTGGAGTTTGCCTATTTTTTTATTTTCAAAGCTATTCTTTTTGTAGAGACATTGTTATGCATATTGTTTACTTACTATATGTAAAGCGCCCATCCTGGTACTTTTTACAAAGAAGCTATCCTATGTTATTCTACAAATTCGCTTTCGAGAATTTAAAAAGTAAAAATTTTAATTTCATTTGTAATAAAATTTTTAATTTTATAGTGTATCTCATCTCTCCATATTTTAATATACAAAAATTTGGCAAGACAATTTCGATTCCTGGTACTTGCAGTCTCAAAAAATTATTTACTAATAATTAAATATAAGAAATAATTTTCAAGATCACTGATGATGGGTATAATATAAAAGAATTTTTGTTGCTGTAGTTCACTACTGTTCGAAAAAACCTCTTTATGAAGTATACTTGTTTCTATTAAATATAATAGTCACTTCCTTCTGAAAAATTTGACGTTAAATCACAACTTATATTCACAAAATATTGGTCTCGCCCGTGGGACTCGTGGAGTATCATTAGCATGACTTTCCTAGTATAAGCATGATGTTCCTAGATTAGGTTCTATACACAAGAAAGAATAATATAAAACCATGCAACAAATAATGCCACCACAAACAGAATAGTATGGAAATTTATAAATAAAAATTAAAAATATAATTAATTCAATTATTCTACAGCTGGTTTATGATTTAGTTCTAATATAAACACAGCAAGTGAATTTGTTAATAAAAGATTCAAAAATTTTATTTAACAGTTGGCAACATTATTTATGTCCTCCACTGTAAGATCGCGAAGATCTTTCGACTTCTAATCTGTGGATCGTTCGAATACAAACCAACCTATAAAGTAAGTTTGATAAAATGAAACTTCTAATTTATAAGAAAAATATTATGAAAGTAAAAGTAATTCTTGTGCCATTGGAATACTTCACGAGTAATTCAACACCGTGAAAGTTCCTTAATGAGCAACTCAGAAGTAACAGAAAACTATTTATAAAACACTAATTAACACACAAAATATTTCAGTTAAAAGTAAATAAATAAATTTATCACAAAAAAAAAAAAAAAAAAAATAAATAAATAAAAATGCGGCTTTTGTCTGTCTTCCATACTTATAAATATTTTCCGAAATATACAAGTAAGTATTTAATGTGCACTGTATATAATATAAAAATATATATATTTATAAGAAAATATACAATATATATAATATATAACAAAAAATATAGGCTAACAAATATGTAAATAATTTAAAATTTGCTTAAAGCTGGAAACTATTTCATAAGTGTAATTTAAGGCTAAAATGACCAGCGGATTTGTCTGAGCTTGTCGTAAATGCTAAAGTAAAGTGCAGTTGTGAAACTTGATTTCAGTAGCGTAGGTGCTACACCCTTATAGAGACCACGTACCCCTTCCTGTTTAATAGTTTGACTCAAACAACTATACACACCGGTGCATTGTATGTTTTGCCCAAATGTCTGACGATTCGATTCAAAACCCTGTATCTGTAAACGTTTTTTTATTAAATCAAACGGATAGACTATAGTTTTCGACAACATCCCCGACGAAGCACCCATAATAAGCAGCGTCCAGGTTGGTAATTTGCTAGCAAAGAGAATAATAGTATTAAATAAAATATATAGTAAGTGTATGGTAGTCTTTCTAAACTCACCTGCGATCGTCTACATTGAAAAAATTAGTTGCCGATTGACTGAACAAGCGGTAGAACATAAAATTAGTGCCCATCAGTGGGGTTATCTGCAGTAAGGCTGATGATAAACCACGATACATGCCAGTGACCCCTTCATTGCGTATAATAGCTGTGACGGCGCGAGTGCCATTGCGATATCCTTTGCTGGTATCCTGCGCTATTAGACGTGTACGTATCACATCTAAGGGTGTCGTTATAATGACTGCAGCACCGCCTGCTATGGCACCGCAGAAAAAGTTTGATAAATTCGGTCGATCTTTAAAGAATACAGTTTGCTTGGCAAACAAACTCAACTGTTCATAGCTCCAAAATTGAGTTATGCCATACACAACACTTAGTACTTGTGCTGGATTATGACCTTTCCAGAAGGCAAACAGACCTTCCTCACGGAATATTGTACGCACAGCCTGTGTGAGCGAGGTATACTTTGATTTATCACCAGCTTTGCTGCTCAGTGGTTCCACTTGCAATTGAAAGCGTATCTTCAAGACATCCAATGGTTGAGTTGTTGAGCGTGTTATGGCCGCTGCCAAGCCACCAGAAAACATTTGTTGCAGTTGTTCTTGTGTGCTATGTGTGCGTCTCTTGGTGGGCGATTTCGGTAACTCTTGTGTGGGTATCGACGTGGTAACGCTACCCGTTTGCGTTTGCACTGCACTCGTTGTTGTGATTTGAGGGGTCATGTTTATTAGAGTGTTTTATTCCTTGTTGTATCGGTGTTGGATAGATGTATCGTTTTGTTTATACTGGTGTCGGCGATGATGGCGTGTAGTATGAAAAGCCAAACAAATCTGCTTCGTAATTTTCACTTTTTACAATGGAATTTCTGTAAATAGACAATAAATCAAAATAGTAAGATAGTAAAATTTAGACATTTCTTTGTTGTTGGCATAAAACATAAAAAGCAAACAAAGCCAGCGCAAATAAATGAAATTTAAAGAGCAGACAAACAAACAACGAATTTCGTATTTGAGTGGCATTTAAATGGTGGCCACAATATCAAAGCTCAAGCCAGTGCGTTACTTCAGTGATTTCTTTTGTTGGCGCTGCTGCAGTCGTTGGGCTGGTGTTGCGCACTCGTACTACTCGTGCGTACACCTGTAGAAGTTGGCCAATACAAATTGATTTCAATATATTTGTGAAGTAGTTTGTTGACTCAGTCGTAAGCCCTGCGCAGCTTCACGGTTGTGATTCAAAAAATCTTTCCTGTAATTTTATGTTGAAATTTCGAGCGCTGCACAGTTGGCGTTTTTGAAATGTTCAGGCACAAATATCTACCAACCCATAAAATTATTATTTACTTAAGCTTCTACTAGCCACGCTAGAGTTTTTAAAATTCGTTTTTACGAGTAATTTAAAACACAGTTTTTCGTTACTCAAAGGCAAGCATTTACTGCCTCAGCTTATAAATAATTTGAGAGATAATAACTGACTATTAGAAGAGCTTTTAATAACAATTAAATACAAGTTCTTCAAGAACTTGCTATTGTTTAGTATCATCACAAGTAGCTTAAATATAGGCCTTGAGTTGAAATTCCACCTTGAATCACAAAGCGATAAATCCATAACTACAAAATATAGCAGGGAAAATATGCTTAGTCCCTCACAGGGTGGATTTAGCATGATTCTTAGGGTATCACCGTTTCTCTCAGAAGTAGTCAGTCATGTGAGTCGTCTACATAAGTTGTGACATACAGATCTTTATACAGATACAGATTGATCTTTACCGTGATTCAGAATTTTACTACTATTAATTGTGCCAAAAATTAACGCTCATTTTTTACTGTGAGCTTAATTTTTCGGGATGAAATTTATGGGAAATTTTGCGATCCAAAATTCTACTTTATTTTTTTTAGTAAATTACAGAAGTATTTTTGACTCGACTTATGTCAGTTAATCATTTTAGTCTGAATGTATTTTTCTTATCTGCTACTATGATTATGCGGTCATTTAAAATAACGTTTTTGTTTATAATTTTAGGTAAAAATTTTTTTGCAATAGACAATTTCTCTCAAATAGATTCTTTATATTAGGAAAAATGATATTTGTGCAAAATCTCTATCTGCACTTTGTATCTCTATATACTTGATTTCAACACTATTTTCAACAACTAGGCAAATATATTTTGGATAATTTAATATTAGTATTAGTATTAGTATAACCTCTAATTTTACGTCACTTTCTAAGATATTCTAATATCTAATATATACTAGATATATTATAAGCTATATGTAGTAGTATTTAGTAGTAGTAGTATTTAGTATTTTCTTTATTAATAATTTAATAACTTACGATAATTATCCATACTTTATACATTATTTTCTTAAAGCTATGATCTAATGTCGTCAGCTAAACATAACGATTGCCTACTCTTTTTATGCCTCTAATCTTGTAGCGAGTTTGATATTATAATTAGTAACTATTGTTGTTATGCACACATAAGTGCGATTAAAAGATCTCGTCCATAACTATAATCTATATGTATTAGATATTTAGATATAAGCTAATATATTAATATAATATATAAGCTAATATATATTCTAATATATTGAGTTTCTATGCCTATAATAGAATGTAGACTGTATAATGGATAAAAATATTATGACATTTAATCATAGTGTCAAAAATAATTTGCAATTAAATTGGAATATTTAATTTGATAAAATGATGTTTCAGAATTTTTTATTATTCTAATTTTTTGCTATTGTCAGGAGACCAATTACGTACAGAATGATCCAATTGCTCCATGATCCATTTATTAGAAATTAAAAATCAAAATTAAATTTAAAAATTAAAATTTTAATTTCATTGAATTTAATAATTTATTTTACCACATAAATTATTGGACGTCATAGTCCGATATCATTGCCTTTAACGCGAATTGTGGCGCTCTTTTCGGTGACAATCGATGTATATGGTATGCTGCATGAATAAAGGACTTACAGAAACTTTCTTCTTGGTTAGTATGTAAAATACGCTATACAGAGTAGTCATCTAACGAAAACTACTCTATGGCTATATAGTTGAAATAAAATGTAAATTGCTCTATCTTAGCCATTCATTTTGGCACATTTTTTGTATATCGGTGTAGAATTGTTGATAAATTCACTCCCCTTTCATCGAAATATTTACTAGTTCAAGATTTCAAAGCACTTTTTCAAATTTTTTCGCGTGAGACATTAACAGTTACGTTAACGCCACAGTTGCTTAAACTCGATCATATTTTTCATATGAGAAAGGAAGATAATTAGCAATTAACCGCATCTTTGCAAGTACAACACCTTCTTCGCACTATCTAGCCTAGTATTTCTTTGAACATCATTTGGAACTTAACCTTTTTGTAAACCTTGTAAGCCATCACATTTAATTTACTCTCGAGAATTCGTGCCATTATTGTTTTCGATATATTACGATGAGTAACAATTTGTCTTCTACTGATCTTCCATCAGCAGTGCTGGTTTTATTTTATTTGATCCTCAATTTCTGGAACCACGTCTACTGCAGATATAATTCTTCCTTCTTTCTATAACTTTGTCAGTTTCATTAAAACGTGTTTTGGGTCAAGGCATGAAAGATTATTTTACACTGAGGTATTCGAGGGTTCTAACAATAGCTACTTGTGATTTTTCGCGCAATCACATTATCACTATAATGACACTGATCAATTTTTTTCAAAAAAAAAAAAACAAATACTTTTGCCATTTTTAAGTCAATAAATTCAGATTTATTTAGGTGAAATACGGACAAGTATGAAATATGCCACCAGATCGAAAGTTATAAAGTTGAAAATTGTTTGTAGTTTACTTTAGTCACCCAATAGATTATAAAATATTATCTTACGTTATTATGGGAATTTATCTGGTGTCAATCTCAAGCACATGGTCACTTGATTTTTCGACTTATTTTAGAGTTGGAAATTGACTGAATATTCTTGGCTAATATGAATATAATGTGTTCGGCTGATAATGAGTTAAGTTTTAAACAAGTCCATTAAAGTTATAGTATTATTTTATCTTTTTATCTATTTAAATCAAATTGTTGACGTAAAATTTTCCGAAAATAATTTTTCGTAATGTATTCTCAAAATATGGTGCTTCTATATATAAGAAGTAATAAAAAAATAATTCTAAATACAGACATAAAATTTTATTTCTATGTTAAATAAAATTTTGATGAGTAATTCAGTATTCGTAATAAACGCAATTATTATTCTACTGTTGGGATAGGTATGTATCTCATACATATCACGAGTACAAAAATACATACTAAACTTAAAATTAAATAAAAGTGTGAAATATTTACACAGATTCCGTTAAAATTTATGGAAATAAACAGGTAGTGGAGGGGCCATTCCCTGAGTTTAGTTTCCTTTTTCAATTAGTGTGGTCAATAACATAAATCGATTTGTTTATATTTTTTAAATCGAATCCAATATAATAAAAATAATAGAAAATTTAAATATCTTTCATAATTTTCCGTTATCAAGAAGTCTTTTTGTTAGGAATTACATACATATGTTATGTATATAATAACCTTCAGCCCTTCAGCGGACTTTAATACAAAAATAAAAATTTATTAATTACAATTATTTTTTAAATGACGATTGAATCTTTTTTTAATAGAAATCCGTAAATAATGCTAAAGAAACCATTAAATGGTTTATTTAATCAATTAACCATACATATTTTTTGGCTAACCATACAACTGTTTTGAGTATTGCCAAATACTCATCATAAATTGTCTTTGGAAATGTTTATTTGGTTTATAGGTTTGTATATGATTGAAAGGCTCAGAAGCCTAGTATTCTGACAAAATTTAAAATTTTTCACATATAGAACTGTTATATTTAGTACGTTAAAGTAATGTTGCAAAGTTCCTTGTGTTAATTTAAGCCAGTCATCAATGAAACAAATCTGTTTCACTTCTGCTGAACTATCCTCACAATTGTAATATGATTTATTAAAGAAAAGGCATAACCTTTTTATGTAGTTATATGTACATTTATATATTTTTCACGACTGCCGTTTACAAGACAATCTAACTGTGTTTAACATTCAAGTAAAGTCGCTTATATAGCAGACGTCTGCTAATTGTCAGGTTTTTGGATGTGTCATTGAAATCAGAAGACTTTAAATCATAGTTTCCATTATGTAGGAATATAGGTTCCTAAAAGTGTCTAAAAATGTTTGATAAACTTAAAATGCTATAAAATGTATTTATATTTATGTACAGAATCCCTAATCAATTGGCATGACTGTTCGTGGGAACAAACTACTTAAGGAATCAAAGAATCTATGAAAAATAAATCGTGTAGGATGAACAAATAGAGATACAAAGTATTACGAAGTTCATTATCAAAGAAAGTTAATATTTCTTCCGTACAAATATGAGTGGTTATACCACTTTTCAACTATTTGTAACTACGAATTAAGAGTGGGTCCCTTCTTGACTTACACTCCCAATATAACTTGAAATATCTAAACCAGTGTTGCTTATGAAATCAG